GCATATGTATGTATGTGTGCGTGCATAAAAGAAGTGCAGAATGATAAGAATATCACCTTGGAGGGTTCAAGGTATCTCCTAGTCGAGCAGTCTCGACTAGAGTTTTCTTACTTGTTTTAATAATGAATCTGTGGCCCTTTTCATTTTTTTAGTTATTAATACCATTTGCCATCATTTTTGTGTACCGTCTCACCATTTCAGGAGGATTCGCGCACCAATTGTCCTTGTTCCTCTTCCACAGCTCTATCATTTCTTTTGGACCCACCCATCATTCGCAGGCTGCGATTTCACATAGCTCCATGTATTTTCAATGAAATTCGTGTCTGAAGGACACTTCAGGACCCTTCATGCACAGCAAGGCAGTCTTTGTTAATGCTCCCCCAAACCATAAGAAAGCAGCCACCGTGCTTGACTGGACTGTGGAATCTCTAGACCAATGCAAGGATTGTCCATATGTCTTGATACTGCAGATGACACCAAAATCAACCGTTTTGAGTAGTTTGAATTCATGATATGTACATACTCAAAAAACAAAATCAATTTATCGATTATTTTCGATAAAAAAGTTATCGGATGAGTTATCGGAAAAATATGATAAACTCGTACTGCGTATGATATACACGCGTATGGCATACAAAATTTCAGTTCTCTAGCTCTTACATCTTCAGAGATCTAGGCATTCATACATACAGACGGACGGACAGGGCTATATCGTCTCAGCTCATGTTGATTAAGAATTTTCCTGTTACATACTTTTTATAAAACATTATACCCTGACTTCACATTTTCAATGGGTTCAGGGTATAAAAAGATCTTGTTGATACGGCCACAGGGAGCGTAGAGAATAAAGGCTTTTTGTAATTAAATACTTGACAGCAAACATAAGAATTTTACTTACAGTTAACCTCCTCTATTGATTTACGATTTTCCATGATCCTAGCGGACATATAATATAACCTTAACATTTTATTGAATAAGCTGCAATTATCTCTAGCCTCTGAATCAGCAAAATAGTTAGAATGGACTTTACACTTCCCGAATGAGTATGAAAATAATGTTAGTCTTGTTGATAAAGCACAAGATACCCCGAAGGTTGCGGTGCTTTTTGGGAATCTTAAGGAACTCAGGGGTGAAATCGAGGTGATGGAGTGGGGGTCGTCCTGGCAAAGGGTTAATCAAGCACCTCCCGAAAGAAGGTGAGCAAAACAGAACCGGACGCAACAGTGGTCAAGCAAATTTCTTGATTTTCTACTTTTCTTCCGCTTTTATTGACAAAAAAATGTTGTAGGAAATGTGGGAAAATATTGTGGATAAACCAGTCTATCCATTTATTTAACCATTTTCTATTGTCTTCTAGTTTATTCGTTTGAAACTCGCATATATTCCCACAGTCTTAGAGAATCTACTCGTACATCTACTCGTACAAACATAAATCTATCTATCTATTATGTATGTATATAGTGACATAATCACACTGATTACGTCCACAATATCCAAAAACTGTTCCCATACCCAAATTATTAATGTAAATATTCCCAAGACTGGTAATTATAAACAGGTAAGCCGGCGCTTCTCCCCCATCGATCGAATTATAATCACAATCAGCACGAATTCGTTCCCAGCAATACGAATCATCTACATGTCAACATGTGTTCCCAGCAACATACATCACTCGAAAGTTGCAAGTTGTGATAATCTCATCTAATTTTTAATCGAAAAGTATCAATTTTTGGAAATAAACTCGATATCTGCGTTATATATGCAGACATATTAAAAATTAAATTCTCAATATCTTGTATCCTCTGAGATCGACGCGTTCAATCATATGTTTAGCTTCGCAGCTCCGTGTGAAATTGCCTCTTTTAAGATAAATGTGCCGATAGAACATTTTAAAACTTAATGTGATCCAAACTTCTGGCCACCTCATGTGGTTGTTTATGAATATAGACCTAACAAGTAAGAAGACTCTAGTCGAGACTGCTCGACTAGGAGATACCCTGAACC